ATAAATAAATGATGTTATTTATCTTTATTATAAATCAAATTATTTAATAGTATTAATTAAAATTTAATAAAATTGTATATTAGTTAGAAAAATATCTTTGAAGTCATCATATATACATTAAACTTTTATGATACTATAAAATAAGTAAATTGTACAAGCTTAACTAGTGCGTATCCCGTGCGATACACGGAGGAGCTCATATTTTGCACCCTATTAACCTCTCTTTACACAATACTTTTTATTTAAGTAATATTATTATACCTCAAATAATAGAAATATAACCACCCATTACACAAAATTTGGTATATAATATGGTTAAATCACCATTTATACATAATTTATTATATTTTTTCCAGTGGTATTCTATATACGATATATATGTTCCAAATATTTCTCAACATATAAACTTAATTGTTGTATACCGTTATTTTTTATTAACAAAGGTTTATGTAAATCTATCATGTAGTTTTATTTAATGTCCAACATTTATCATATTACTGATCAAATTAGAAGATAAATCCAAATATTATCCAATTCAAGTAAATACTTCCTTTTTTTTATAGTAATAGATTTTAAATATTTTTTGAATTCTATATTTCATTTTTTACATTTACGAAGGTAAAAAAATTTGAAATTAAGATATACATTTAAATAAAAGTATATATTAAATTATAATTAATCAAAAGTAATTTAAAAAATATTTATAATAAGATATAAATTAATACTATTTAAATAAGCTTAATATGTAACAGTTCATGTGGATTGAATTTTAGTTAATGTTGTCCGTGAAAAAAAAAAATTGCCATAAGTAGAAAGCATTTAATGAAGATAAATGTTTGACAAAAAATTTAGTTGCCATTTTTTTAAATGGTAAATATGTTTATATATATAGATATCATTTTAATTATTTTAAATATATAAACAGTAATACAATATTTATTTGTTATCGTAAGTCTATATATCATTAAAGATCCCCCCAAATTGCATTTCTAGGGTTTAACATTCGCGCAAGATGTCGAAACGAAAATTCGGATTCGAAGGCTTTGGTATCAATCGCCAGCCAACATACAATTTCGAGCGATCTCAACCGCCTCAACGCTTATACGTCCCTCCTTCATCTCGCGGCAGTGACGTTGGAGACGACGATGCCGACCTCGACAATATCGAGTATGCGGACGATCGAGACACTTCGAATGATGTCCTGCCTGCCGACGGCACCGATGCTGCTGCCGATGAAGATGAAATTGATCCTCTGGACGCGTTCATGGAGGGATTACAGGAAGAGATAAAGTCGGCGGCGCCTCCAAAGGCGAAGGATAAGCTGGACAAGTACAAGGATGACGTGAACGATGATCCGTTGGAGATCTTTATGAAGGCGAAGAAGGACGTGGGTCTGCAGTTGGCCGCAGATGCTTTGCAGGCTGGGTACAATTCGGACGAAGAGGTTTATGCGGCGGCAAAGGCGGTGGATGCTGGGATGGTTGAATATGATTCTGATGACAACCCTATTGTTCTTGATAAGAAGAAAATCGAGCCGATTGCTGCACTCGATCATAGTTTGATTGACTACGAATCGTTTAGTAAGGATTTCTATGAGGAGAACCCTTCCATTTCAGGTAATTGAAGTATTTTAAGTTTCATTTTTCTTCTGTTGGTAGGTTGAGTAACTTGAGTTTATGGTAATTTTGACAACTATCATTTGGAGCTTTCTTTTGATTTGTTGTGTGG